TACCGTAGAGCAGAACGGGAAGAATGGCGTATTAACCACAACATTCTGAAGTCCCTACTTGCGGTCTTCTTCCAGTTGTTCGGAATGAAAATGTAAGGAATGGACGACGCCTAGGTCTGCATGGTTAGAGACAAGCGAGAGTTCGACCCCACCGAGCACGTACCTCGAAGGGAAAGTTGCTCCTATACGAATGACGGAAAATGCATTCACAGTATTTAGTAAGGGTGTGTTGAAAAAACACTGTGACCAAAATTCGTCTAAAAGTGTCCGAATAAGATAGCTAGAGGCTAAAAACTGGTTACTCAGAAAGCTCCAACAATCACTTTAGTGAACGCTTTCCGGTCAAGCGCACCGAGTCCAAGTCGCAAAGCCGCTAGAAAGCCGGTAAATCTGAAACATGATTTGACGAAATACAACGTAAAAAACCAGGTGGACTGAACACAAGAAAATTAAACCCGAGACACTGTTTGTTGAGCAAACTCGCATGCCGTTTAAACGCTACCCACCTTTGTTTACCACTTCCCAAGCGGTTTCAAAAACATATTTCCTTTGGTAAATTTCTGGATCAATGGACTGAACTAAGTGACCCAGGTCGTTGTGTGATAACCCTTCCCTCGACAATCGAACCCCACTAGGCCGTCTACCGACTGACATAGTGCTGGGCCGCTTGCCCTCCTCAGCCAAATAGACCTTGTACATAATCCTCAGAAGCCTAACTAAAGAAACCGCCGGCTTACTATTGATTTTTTTGAAAGTATTTAGTCGCGTTAAGTGAAATGCTGTTTAGTTTGCTAGTACTTTTGTTTATGGTATTTTACCAAAATTGTTTTTAATTTGCGATACTTAAAAATTACTACGATGGCCGGTTCTATTAAAAACGATTGCCATTTCAGAACCATAATCTTAACAGGATTTTCTGAAGCAGACATAAGGCACAACCTTGTAGGCATACGAAAAAACATGGTAGAAGGAATAAAATCATTATAACGACATACCATTGAGAATTTACTGATTGGAGCCAGTGCTTAAAATACTGCTTTGAAAAAATACCTTTAGCATGTTTCCGCTGTGTTGTTATCTAATTAATTGGTTGGACAGGGTGTGATGCGGTCTTTGTTTTAGGTCCATCAATATTTCAAAGTTCGCTAACTCCTGGTTCAACGACCCGCCGAAGAAGGAACACTCACGGGATAATCCTATCGTTCCAATCCCACTTGAACTTAACTGATTGTCATTTTTACCATGACGTAGTACTTTTGTTTCATACCTAAGTTCATGATCAAGTAGCACTTTCGCGGGGTCATTCGCTGCCAGGTTTATAACTACTACGTGCAATAATTCGTGTTGAATCTTCTTAACTCAATCACTCGCTTTAATTTTTTTATTAGGCGACGGCCTTCTATCTTTTGAGCTGTCGCCTTCCTTGCCGAACTTCCATTCTCACTATGGTAAGCCAGCGGCGCCCGATACTGAGCTCAAACGAATTGCTGCAGTTTAAGGCAAAGAAAATTGTCCGCTCACGTCAACTACAACAACGCCGGCGCGCACTAATACTTCTTTGCAGGCTGCTACCAACGGCTGTGAATCCGCCGATGTTTTCAGCAATGGGCAGTACTGTCCACCAGAGGAACTTCACTGTTAGGTGTATAAGCTTTCTTCTGTAT